GGCCGCTGCGCTGGGATGCTGGTGTTACTACTATTGCGGTTAGGAGAGGCAGGGAGCGTCTCTCTATTTTGCCCCGTTGCCCCCCCCCTGGATCCGCCACTGCTTCTGTCCCACACCAGTGATGACTCACCCTTACCTGGACCCAAGTGACACCAAGACACCGCTTAGAACATTTAAATGGGCTTTATTAAAACTAGCAATAAGCCCTGGAAAGAGATAAACTGCTTAACAGGAATGACCATATTAAATGCAATGATGCAATACAAAAAACATTTTCATTCGTTTCGTCAAATGAAACAAATTTTTATGTTTTTGATTCAGGAAGCAAACCTGTGAAAAAGTCATGGTCATGCTAATTTGCACCCTTGTTAATATGGCTTAATCTTATCTTAATGTCATGCTAATAGTTTATTCATACCGTTTGTTTTCCCTCTGCATGCATTGCAATATAGCATTGAAAGGGGAATAAATCTCATTGAAAGGGGAATAAAGCTCTCCCAATGTAAAACGTATGCTCAACTTTACCATTCTGCTCTATTACCTAAAAGTCTCACTAATGTGATATAATTTTAACTGCTTCCAGGCCAGCCGTTGTAATTAAAAGGCCGGCCGGGAGCTTCTTGAATGTGAGTAAGCATGTTCTTGAATGTGAGTAAACGTCCTGTGGCGCGCAGGAGTGGGAAACTGCCTAAATTGTAAACAGCCAGCGATGGCTGTTTACATACAAGCGTTCCGGCGTCTGTAGAGCCGCCGGATCGCATGTATTGTGGGTGTGCAGCCCCACTCTCTGCCATCGATCCCAAGCTCTGCTGTGCCCGTTGCGGACCTGGAACCTGTACGGCAGCTCTGTCACCAGAGAAAAGAGGGAGAGAAGCTGGTGAAGCAGATCTCTACTTACATAGTATTTGAGGTTGAATAAAGACATATGTCCATCAAGTCCAACCTATTGTGTGTGTGTGTGTGTGTGTGCATAGGTCCTCATCAGCTTCTTTGGGGGTCCCTAGGTGACATTAGGAGTTTTAGACACCCCTGATGTCTCCATAAAGACGACCTGTCTGTTTAAATTGGCTATCACACAGAGGCGTAACTAGAACCCTCAGGGCCCCGGTGCAAGAAAACCATAAAGGGCCCCCCCCCCCGGAAAAATGAGGGAACCCGGTATGTGTTCCCTCACCTCCCGATCTACTGAGCCGACCTGTGACAGTCTTATTGTCACAGGTCGGCTTAGAACTATGAGGTGAGTGGAAATCACTCATGTCATAGTTCTCCTTTAAAGTTAAAAAAATAATTAAAAATTAAAGTCACATACAGACGCAAACATGTGCGAAAATGATGTTTGCGCCCATTGCGCTGCACATGTTACATATCACCGCAAACATCGGAGTGATAGCAATCATTCTAGGGCCATCACGAAGTGCTGAATACTAAAAAATGGTCTGGCCACTCCGGTCTTCAAGTGGTTAATAAGTAGGCTTTGTTGGTTATATTTTGGGGTACATATATGTGGATGCCAAAGTACGCAAAAGCTGAATTGAGAAGTACTGGAAAATGCTTTTGTTAATTTTGTTTTTACGATTTACTCCCAATAAAAACGAAGGAGATAGGAAATGTATGCATATGTATAGTTAACATATACAAATAAACCATTGCTGAATAAAAAAGATGAAAAATATGCTCTGGGACTCAAGTGGATTTAGGGAGCAAAAGGCCTGGGGGCTTAAGTGGTTAACCAACTCCCTACCACCATATAGTAAATAAAAAAACAAAATCGAAGGTGGAAGTCTATTTGTGAAATGATGTCTCAAGGTGTCATCACACAAATGGCCGTCAGGCGCCAAACTGTGCATGCTAATCCCTGCGTATATACTAAGCTGTCCATGGATGGATCAATACACGTACCGACCTGATCAAAGTGGCAGGGTACTATGTGATAACAGCAGTTACATGTTGTTTACACTAAAGACCCCTCCTCTTCCTCTGTAGCAAGACTGGTAGGAACGGTAGTAATTTGTAAATGGTAGAATGAATGAATAAGTCAGCAGCAGAAGCCAGGGCAGCCATCAGGGCAGCCATCAGAGATGTTAGGGCCCCTTGCACAGCTTTAGGCCTGGGCCAAACCTCCGGCCGATCAGGAAGCCGGGCAGCGTGTCTGTCTGGTGACGAGGGAGCATGGAGTCAGCTTCCTAGCCAATCAGGAATCTGGCGCTGTGTAATGATGTGGTTGAGAAGCTGACCAATCAGGAAGCCAGGCGCCGCATCATTACACGGCGCCCAGCTTCCTGATTGGCCAGAAAGCCGGCTCCATGCTTTCTCGTCACCTGATGATGAGGGAGCATGGAGATGGCTTCCATGCTAATCGGGAAGCCAGGGGGGGCGAGTCTTTACACGCTGCCCGGCTTCCCAGCTAATCAGGAAGCCAGGTGGCGAGTCATTATACGCCGCCTGGCTTCCTTAATGGGACTTCCGTTATCGGTATTCGGCATCGGCTAGTATCGGGAAAAATATATATCGGTACTCGATACTGAAAAACCGCCATCAGTGCATTCTTACTAAACACTAACCACCCTCCTTTTTCACTAAACACTAACCGCCCTCCCTTTTCACTAAACACTAACCGCCTTCCCTTTTCACTAAACACTAGCCGCCCTCCCTTTTCACTAAACACTAACCGCCTTCCCTTTTCACTAAACACTAGCCGCCCTCCCTTTTCACTAAACACTAACCGCCTTCCCTTTTCACTAAACACTAGCCGCCCTCCCTTTTCACTAAACACTAACCGCCTTCCCTTTTCACTAAACACTAACCGCCTTCCCTTTTCACTAAACACTAGCCGCCCTCCCTTTTCACTAAACACTAACCGCCCTCCCTTTTCACTAAACACTAACCGCCCTCCCTTTTCACACAAAAAAAAAAACATCTTTGTTTATTGAGCAGAATAACAGTCTGACACAAAAACGTAACATGAGGGCCTGCAGCCAACATTTCAGCACATAATACAAGAGTGTACAGTACAATAAGGATAGCAAAACATCAAATGAGTCAATATGTTCCAGGGCACAGTGGCACAGCAATTTGTCACGGTCCTGACTATAAACGCTGACCAGCCATTGGTCAGTGAGTATTATGTACCAAAACAGAGTGTAATCATTATTTAACATGTGCTAAATACGCGCCGTGCTTAGGGAATGGTTCTTATATCTAAACTTAAACACTTATTGGAAAAAGGGACACTCTCCAGTAAAATCCAAAGAACCGTATAGAACAGAAAGTCATGCCACTAGGCATGCACCGAGCCCCAAGCACGGAACCAGATATCATTCAGCATAATGTACAATATTACAGTTAATTAAAGAGTTCCACAAGGGATGCGGAAGAGGAGTAGGTTGCAAATAGCAGCAAAGTAGGGGAAGGCAATGTAGGAGGATGGGGGAAAAAAAGGTAATGAAGGAAACATGCCAGCTCCGATTCTCAACTTGAAAGCGAGTCAAGCATCAGGCTCCATTGCACAGGGCTCTAAGCCGACATAATCCCAGGGCACAGGACCCCCATGCGGAAAGCTGTACCGCTCTCCCTTTTCACTAAACACTAATCACACTCCCATATCACTAAACACTAACTGTACTCCCTTTTCACTAACACTAACTGTGCCTCATCTATCCACTAGCACATCTAAGCCTGTACAGGCTCCGAGGTGGGCTGTGGGGGCTCTCAGTTGGGCTGCGGGCTCTGTGCAGGCTGTGTATGGGCTCTCTTTCCCTACCCCCATCGTCGGGCTGCTAAAACATTTACCTTTCCACTCAAGCGACTCTGCTCCAATCCCTGATCGCTCTTTGGTAAAGCCCGCTACAGACCAAGCTCCACCTCCTGAAAACCCCCCTTCCTGCATGTACAGGAAGGTACCAAGTTACAGGGGAGGGGGCCGGTACCAAGTACTGTACTGCACGTATTACCAACCTCAAAAACAGCGGTGGACCTAAGGAACAAACTGTCCCTCCAACCCCCCACCTCCCCCGGCAGTCTCTGAACCAAAGGAGCTTACACTTTAATGTCCCCCCCACAGTCTGACACTGTTATAATACATTTATATAGCTCTGACATATACCACAGTGCTGTACAGAGAACACTGAACCAGTCACATCAGTCTCTGCACCTGACGGGTGTGGTTGTGTTCTCCGAGGCTCGGTTACTTCCACAAGGGAGTGGAGCAGGGAGCTGAGTTTGCCGCTTTCCATAGGACACCATGTCGGATCCTGGGGAGGATATAGAGGAAGCTGCCCCTAGAAGGTCTGGGCCAGGTGCTTTTGCTAAAATCCCAGATCTAAGTGGGGGGCCTGCTGAAGGAAAAAGTGCTTCAGTTTATTGTGATAAAATCACGATGAGGATTCTGAAAATTGCTAAAGAAGAAGAAAAACTGAATGAGCTGAGGAAAGACTTGAGAAAGAGGAAAGCTGTGCTGGAGAGATCATCCAGGACCAAAAAGCTCCAAATGAAGCCAGAACTGAAAAGGCTGGAGGAGGATGTGAAGAGACATGAGGAGTATGTCATGGTGCTCAAAGAAAGGAGTGGCGCTTTCAGGGAGAAATTTGCGAATGAGTTTCGTTGCAAGGCCATACAAAGCAAAGGTGCCTTCGGACAAAGCATGTCAGAGGACTCTGTGTCCAGAAACTGAACAGGAGCAGGTGGAAATGCCTGACAAATTACCACCATAAGGTCAGTCCCAAGAGGTGTCTGAGGTACAAGTGGAAGGAATGGAGGGAGAAATGATGGTGATTTGGGAGCTGGAGTCCCCCCTTCATGGCAGAAAGTTCAAGTTTGATTAAGCTTTTTCAGAGGGGGAGGACGGCTCTGTTCCTAAGGCGCTTACAACGCATGTAAAGGAAAATGTGGTCTTTACACAGAAGAAAATGATAAAGAAGTTGTACATAGTGAAATGAAGACTGTGCTTATAAACACCAATGGTGGTGCCTCTGAAACAGGTGGGGTGCAGATGGAGGAATCAGCTACTTCAGGCCGTACACGAGTTTCAAGAGCCGAATGCACTGGGGCTTTGGCATCAAGACCAACATCTTCAGAACAACGCACTGAGTCAGCACAAATGTTTGGTGATGGCGGACTATCTCTGAATAGAAACATGCTATTGCAAGAGTATGGCAAGATGGCAGCGGTATCACAAAGAGACGCTGTGCAGGTTAAAATGGGAAAAGGCTTGCCTGTAAATCCTGGCGCATCAGGTGTGAAGATCAAAAGTCTCCAAAAAGCGTGTTGGTAACACTATTGTTGTTAATGCTGGTATGGCAAAGGAGGGGGCGGGGATTGTAGAATGTTAGTAGGTTGGTCTGACAAGAACAGTCCTTGATAAATTCATGTTGTTCATCACTTATTATACCTTTTTCACAAACAAAATCCACGAAATAGTCCTTTATCATTCCCTCAGTTTGCATACTATTGATGTTAGACTGGCTGGTCTGTAGTTCCCCGGTTACCATCTTGAACCTTTTTTGAATATTGGTACTACTGTAGCTTTACGCCAATCACTTGGTATCCTTCCAGTCATTATGGAATCATTGAAAATTAGGAATAACGGTCTTGCAATAAAATGGCTGAGCTCTTTAAGTACCCGAGGGTGCAGGTTATCCGGTCCCAAAGATTTATTTGCATTAAGTTTTTCTAGACTTTGTTGAACCCAGGCTACTGTCAAACACTGCGGTATCTTATGCACTAAGCTACTTTTATTCTTATCTCCATTAAAGCCGTCTTTTATACTGAGGAGAAAAATGAATACCTCAGCCTTCTCCCTGTCGTTTGTGATTAATCTCCCGTTCTCATCCTTCATTGGGCTTAGCTGCTCTTTTCTTATCTTTTTACTGGTTATATATTGGAAGAATTTTTGGGGGTTCTTACAGACTGTGGCGATATGTTTTTCGTAATCTATTTTAGCTGCCCAGATTTTATGTTTACATCTCTTATTACATTCCTTGTAGCATTGGAATGCCAATGCTGTCCCCGCCATCTTATATTTTGTAAATGCCAGCTTCTTTTCTTTGATGTGATGTCTTACTGTTTTATTTAGCCATGCAGGCTTAGCTCTCAATGTTTTATTTTTGTTACCCAACGGTTTGCACTTGGAAATAGAATTGTGCAATGTATCTTACCGTCCCGGTCCTTCCCTGTTCAGCTCAGCAGCACCGCTCTCTCCCGTTCACTTTCAGTCTCACTGATCCAACGAGAGCTCAGGGCCTGCTCAGCAGCATCAGCAGTGCTTTGTCACTGGCTTGCTCTCAGTCTATCCAATCACCGCAGGGCCGCCGTCAGGGGGGTACTGCGAATACTCATGTAAGGGGCCCAGGCAGCCTGAGGGGCCCCCGCAGCACCGGAGGAAGCCGGGGCCCACACACTTCATAACCTCACCTGAGGGTGCTCTGTGTTGGCCTCCGGTGCCCCCAGGGGTCTCCACTGCACATTAGGTTTTTAAAGACGGCCGCTGCGAGTAGCGGCAGCCATCTTTCAACCTGGCAAGTGCCCACATTACATTTAATATATTGCCAAACCGACACTATATTAACCACCTCCGGGCCG